CCCCATTTCTGCTGACGCGGCGTGCGCTTGGACTTCCATTGCAACAACCAGAGTGAACAAACGACAAGTGCCGTCCGTCCGTCCGAGCCGTTGCATTTGGCACGCAGGTTGAGGCAGCTGACGCGGCTTGCTTGTTCAGAGAATGAAAGAAAAATGGCAGTCGCCAAAGTCGCCATGCTTGCTGGCAGATCCGGATCTGCACACCATGCTCTCATGATTGCCGGACAACGGGTCGGCAGATCCGGTGGCCCTGTTCGCTTAGGCTGAAATTTGATTTATGCTGATCCTTATGCTGAAATGTTTTGAGAGGAAAAGACTGTTTCATGGCTTATGCTGATATTTTTACTGAAATGGGTGGTAGTTGTAAGCTGGAACCGGAAGTCACAGGGTGATTCTGCTGCCACATGTTGGCATGGATGCTCGGATAGGATATGTAATGCAATATAAGGCGCAGAAACGGATACTAAAGTCATCATATTTTTTTTCTCTCGAACCCACAGGACTCCTGCGCACTGAGAAGGTCACTGGGAGTACAAGATAGTTGCAGCCTTGCAAGTGCCCACTGAGAAAATGAAGAAACTTAGTATCATCAACCATATAAGACACGGCTTGGAATGGAATGAAGGATCATCAACCGCCTTGGAACGGATTGATGGATCTCCCAGAAGTTCATCAGGATCAGAAACATGTTAAAAGGAAACTAAAATTGATCACTGTACATTGACATGTCGATCGTATCTCTGTACACAGTGTCCCAGCAACTGAGTTAACTTATACAGTTACACATATCTGCAATTGATCTCTCTCCACATAATTAAACGCTTGTTCCACACACACACACTAAAGACAAAAACAAAAACTATATATTTTGTTGGTTAAAACGATGGTCTATGATATTACTATATGCGCTACAAAGTGTAACTTGTGACCCACATTTTAAACATCTAGAACCTGGCAGCTGACGAGCTCAGCCGTCCCAAAGTTCTTAGAAGCCACAGTGGTCCATACCACGTTTTCTTCCGATACTGCGTTATCTGAGTTATTCTGCACTACAGCCTGCATAACTTGAAGAGTGTTGTTCGCCGCCTTTGTTATAACATGGAGCCTTCCACGGAGACCGGCGAGTAAATAAGGGGCCTCTGCGTCAGTGAAATCATTAATTGGAACTTGTGGCAAGATAGTTACCCATGTGTCCTCTTCGGAGTTGTATCTTTTTATCTGACCACTGTCCAAAGAGCTGGAAGGCTCCAGGGTGTAAAGTTTGTCATCGATCACAATACCCAATTTTGTGCCTGCCTGTCTTGCTGGCCATCCGTCGCCGAGACCATCAGGCATTGTTGACCAAGCATTAAGATCTGGGTCATAGATCTCACCTCCGATGTCAAAAAAGAAGGGCCATGAGTACAAGCTCTGAGGAACATACAACTTTCCCTTGTAGGGTGCCATTCCTGTGGCGATAGGCTTCAGCACATCGATCAAGAAAGCTGTGGGGAGTACCTGTGCTTTTGCGAAAGGCATTTCTGGTAGCTCACTCCACAGTCTAGTTTTGGGATCAAACGCCTCAGCTGAACGCAGAGGAAGCAAGCCATTCCGACCCCTACTGACTCCACCAACTACATATAACTTGCCATTCAAAAATGTTGCCTTGCAGAAAGCCCGTCCTGTGATCATTGGGCTTACTTCCTGCCACAATTGAGAGAAAAGGGTCGATCTCCAAACGCAGTTCAGGGCAACAGCTTTGGAAAACCCCCCAATGACATACAAGTAACCATCAGCAACACCAACTGAACAACCACAAAAGGGCATCTGATCCAAACTGTTCCTGCGCCAAAACAAGCTCCTCATGAAATCAGCAATCCTAATGCTTGATCCCACGACATTCCACATCCGGAGCCCAGAAGATGCCGTCCTATTGGATTCCTCCTCATTGACGAAAGAAGGCATCGGTGCCAACCTCTGCCATTTTTGAAACACTGGATCGAGGGCATACCAATGGAGTTTGTTTGCCTCAACCTTGGTCAGTACATATAACCATTCTTCACTTACGCCAAGCTCTTTCCTCAGCTGGGAAAGTTCAGAACCTATGATTGCTGCCTTCCAAGCTCGGCAAACCATCTTCAAGTTAAGGTAATGGATCCGCGGTAACCTTGCCAGAATCTGGAGTGAGAGCTCATCAGGAAGAGTTGGAATTATCCTTGGGTTGGACCCATACTCATAAGTAGATACCTTCACCCTCTTATTAGGATATGTCCCAGATGTCTCATGCTGATCCATAGACTTAGCCGTAGTACTTGGCGCACTTAGAATGGAGCCCATCTGAACTTGTTTTCTTCAAACCAAATAGTTGAAGCAGTCTTACATCTCTAATCCATCAATAGTTGCTGAAACAGGGTTTGAAAATAGGAGCTCTATGAGCTTCAATATAAGTCTGAGATAAATATAGTAGCAAAGCTCAAGTCTAAAAATGTGATTAATATGCCACAAACATTTAAAAAGCATCATAAAAAGGATTTTCAACAAAGCGAGCAAATACTTGAAAATGAACACATCCTGCAAACCCAAGTTTTTGAGAAAGTCAACATCACTGCCACACAAATGTGTGTTCACAGGTTTGCCAGTCGCATCATGGCATGTGGCCCTAGGCTCCAACTCCACAGGTCATTACTGAGACAATGAGGGGCAAATCCCCACATACACCAATAAACAAGAAAGAGATTGTAACCATATGGAATGTTGGCTTGGGCAACATTGAAATAAGAAAAAATATCAATAGCATATATATTTCATTTTATCAACTATTTCTACCCCTATGTAGGGACTCAAACCCAAAAAAACAATCTCAAGCAGGACCATGAATTTAACTTCAAAATCCCCATCTCCCCCAAAGAAAAAAAAACACCCACGGTCCTAAAATTCATGACCCATCTAAATATCTAATAATAGCAAAAGGCTCGAATTTGACAGAGCACGGTACGTGTTCTGCCAAACCTAAACAAGGCGGCTAATTCATCGATCCCAGAAGAAATTAGAAATTAAAGATGATCTGCGCGGGACCCAGAATGGTTTTCCATGAATCAGACGAGAATTGGAGGTTGACCGTGGCCGGGCTTACCGGGAGGAAATGCCAGGGCGGATCTCCGATGGGGTTGAAGGAGCAGAGGAGAGGGCGAGCAGACAGCAGCAGATGATCCCAGGTAGGGGTAGAGGCGTAGAGCCCGTGGCGTCGAGCGAGCACGACCCGCGCCGCCGTGTCAGCAGGCAGTAGAGGCAGGCACGCAAGGTAGAGAGGGCGAATGCTGAGGACGGCACGGGTTGGTGGAATCCGGGAGGGGAGGAGGGATCAGAGCCAGAGGCGGACTTCGCGTGCGAACGGCGCCTTGCCGTACTCGTGTACGCTATACGGAGTGGAACCATGTGGACTTCCTGGACCGGACGGTTTGGGGTCGGTGGCCTGGCCCGCTGTGGCGCTATCGGCGGCCCAGTTTTGGCGTCTGGACTTGGCTTCCGCTCCGTGAGGGAGTTCACAACGCTGCTGGTCTCTCTACCGGCACCATTTGTTACCTTGCTGATTCTCAAAACAACAACAACAACAAAAATGTTTCCTTGCTAACATGTCACTACTTTAATGATCCGTCCAACATGATGTAATAACCATGTAATCCTTTGCTGGACTAACAGGACCAGTTCAGAATATATCCAGGTGGGGACACTCTCCCCTAAGCTGCTTATATTAAAAAATATATATTTTAATAACACGGAAGGAAAGCATATCAATTTCAATATCTATCTAATATTTAAAGAAGAAAAACTTCTCTCCCACATTTTTATTTTGATAAAGACACTCAAACGAGTGTCACGTCAAATATATTGCAAGGAAAACAAGGGCTAGTATAAAAGATGGACAATAAGACAGAAAACGACCTATAAAAAATAAGAGTACATCAGATAGCAAATCGGTCGTCTTCCTCCTTCGGACCTCCACTGTCTGCTGGAGTTTGAAGATCGCACTATGAAAACAGCAAAGAAAAGGGACACATGCAAACACCCTCGTCAAACAAAGCTTTGAAGACTGAAAAAGTCACTCGCCGCTGACGACGAGGTCTAGTACACACGAAAAGAACACTGCGGGAGAAAACTTCCAAAGGACGCAGGCTTACAATCCCTCACCATCATAATAGCGTGTTGAAGATTGGGACCGTACTGTAGAACAGACCAAAAGAAAAAAGATCGAGATCACCGCAATGAAAACCAACCAACTTATTCCTTTGATACTCTCCCACATTTATGGTCTGTCAGTCTATTCCATCATACCTTAGTCTTCTCCGTTCACATCTCTCTTGTTTTCCACATTTTTCAAATCCATACGTAACATGAGGTCACGTTTTCGATTCAAAACCAGCACAATCCAATTCAACACAAGATCACGTTTAGTACGATGCGTGTCTAGTCACAATACAAAGTTTGATTTTAAAATGTATTAGAATAATTAACACGATCATTGTACACATCGATCTCCAAACTACAAGACTACAAGTTGTGTAGGTGACTGCGCAACAAGATATGGCATACGTTTGCTCCTAAAAACCAAAGTGTACTTGTGAACAACCAATGTCCCAACGGTGTTCCAGAGGTTCCCCTTTTAGCACCGAGACCGTCCTGATTGCGTTCGGTCCGCCGGTTTGGTGGAGACGTGGAGTACTGGAGGTCTGGAGTGGATAGCAATTAGGGGCCAAAGCCTCTGTCTGAATGCACCAGAACCTCCAGAGCCGGAGACCGGGGCGGGGCATCGGCCAGCGCCAACACGATTGTCTCGCCACGGGCCGTTAGCTTCGCGCAATCGCTCGTCCATGGCGCCACTCGGTGGCCGTGGCCGTCACATCCCTGCCAGCTGCCGGCATCAACAACAGGAGATAGCTCTTCAGCAATCAGCAGAACGCATGAAACGCTTCAGTGCTCAGCTTCTCCGATTGTCCAACACGGGGGCAGGGCACCATCATCACTTATCTGAAACCAACCGCGCTACATCCGGCGTCTTTCTTCTTTGCCGCGCCGTCCTCGAGCATCCGCCAAGCCTCGGCAACACCATCCCACCTCCCGCCCGACGCGTACAGGTGCGACAGCAGCAGGTACGGCGAGCTTGTCGCCGGACCAAGCGCCAGCAATCTCTCGGCAACCCTCCCGCCGACGTCCGTGTCTCCATGGACCCTGCAGGCGGAGAGCAGGCTGCCCAGGACTACGGGGTCGTCGCGGAACGCCGATGCCTGGACATGTCCCTCAGCTCTCCGTGAGACGCCGTGTGTTTGGCCCATGGAGTAGAAATACTCCATGCCTTGGCTGACCAGTCCGGCATGGTTGCACGCAGCTAGAAGGCCAGTGAATGTGATCGAGTCCGGAGCCATCCCAGTTTCCTTCATCCGATCAAAGGCGTTGATGACTTCCGTGGCATGGCCTTGTTTGCTGAACCCAGAGATCAGTGTGTTCCAAGAAAGCAAGTTGTGATCTGGCGATCGATCAAACACGCGACCGCAAACACCATCTGACCACACCTTGCGTACATGCTCATGATCGCATTGCTCGCAGCGACATCAGCATCATCCCTGCTTCTGATGAGGTGGCCATGAACTTCACTGCCATGCCGGAACAGAGAGAGCTCCCCACAAGCAGCTAGCGCGCTGGCGAACGTGAACTCGTGAAGTTGTCAGGGCAAACGCTTGCATCCACCATGTCCTTGAAAAGCTTGAGAGCTTCCGTGTGGGCACCACGATGGGAGTGTGCAGCGATGTAGGTGTTCCAAGTGACAGCTGTTAGATTGATCTCACCAGTTGGCCCAACGGCCAATTAAGCCTTGATCCGCGTCTTAATCGGGGACGTCCAACCCTAACTATGGTTGGTGGGCCTCCGTCGCACAGCGCCGTAAAAAAGGTGGAGGCCGGAGCTTAAGGTACGAGGTTCACCTGAGTCGCCAGACACCCCACCTACATCCCAAACCCTAACTGATCTAGAGAGGGGGCACTGCCAGCGACGGGAAGCACCGCCACCGGCTTTGCCCGCCTCTGCACCGCCGCCCTGTGATTGCGCCTTCACCGAGTCACCACCGCACCTCCACCTCGCACCAGCGATGGCCAACTCGTCTTCGTCGAAGGTGGCCGATGGTTTGCATCTCCGCACCTCTCTCTGTGTGTGTTTCCCCATTACTAGTATATATTCTATGGTTCATTATTTATCCCAAATGTTAGTTAGACCCGGCTGATCTACACCTAGCCGATCCTATGTATCTATCAATGGTATCAAAGCCTGGTCTAGATGTAGATCTAGTCTTTGGGGTACAAATCACGAAGAAAACAGAAGGAGGGGACTCGATTCGAATCGGATTGAAACCCCACTCGAAACCCTAACCCAAACCCTAACCCTAGATGGATGGACGGAGAAGGGGGAAGACCTACCTGGTTTCTCACCGCCGTCGCCACCGCCGCACGCGGGGAGAAGCCGAGCCGCACTCGTCGTCGTGCGCGCGAGCCCCGGCCGAGGGCACCGTCACAGGACCGCTCAACGGCGGCGTGCTCACCCACTGGGGAGCGCGCGCTCCGGCGAGGGGATCCGCGGTGGCGCCGGAGGGATCTAGGGTTTAGGGCAACTCCACCGCAGCGCGTGTGGGGGCGCAAAGAGCACCACAATGGTGCCACCCGACGGCGCCGCGCGCGGATCCAGCCGCACGCATGCACCGGCGAAGGGTGCCACGGCGGCGCCACCACGCTTCTCTCCGGACATCTGGTTCGGGGTGAGAGTGGAAGAGAGAGCCGGTGCCGCGGAGAAGAGAGAGAGAAAACGAAGTGAAAAATGAACTAGGGTTTCGGATTCGGCCGCGGAAGCCGGTTTTTGATCTCGCGAAACGCGCGGATGACCGTCGGATGAAGATCAACGGTTCAGACCGCATCAGGCCGAAAGAGGCCCACGCAGGATCGAAGATTCCTGGCCCAAGCCCAGGTTGCGCCCGGGGCGCGCGCGCTGTGTTGGGCCGCTGCTGAGCACTATTTCTTATTGTTTTATTCATTTTCAGAAGCAAATTTTGATGATTTTTTGTCTAGTTTAAATCTCTTCAAAATTTGAACCAACGGGATAATTTTTTAGAGAGTAGATGAGTACAGTAAAATGCTTCTGAAAAGTAGATAAAGAATTTTTTCATGTTTCCGCTGCAAAGGTTAAAGTTTATTATCTTCTAATTAAATTCGAACCAACGAGAGAATTTAATTTGAAGAGCAGTTAAATTTTATTTAGTAAATTATGATATTGTTATTTTTCTGACCAACGTTGATAATAACAATATTATAATATTTATTCATAAGTTTATCATACATTAATTCTATTTCTGTCCAACGGTGATGTAGAATTAGTGTATAAGAATGTTGTATGTTTTAATTTTGATCAATGTTAAATTAAAGCATGCAATTATTGTGTCATGTTTTCTCACTATCTCTGACGGTGTTTTTTAGGACTCAATCCAATGGCATTTATCTCGCACATACCACCTCTTGAAGGGGGCAACTATAGGGTATGGCGAGAGAAGTATGAACTACCACTTGCGCTGTCTGAAAATAACCTAGCGCTTACCTTCACATGTCCTACTGAGCCAGTGGACCCGGTAAGAGAAGAAAATGAGACTGATGCTGATTTCACTGCTCGACAGCTATATCATGTAAAAGTTCGGGTGAAATATGATCTCGAACTTAAAAAATGGGACATTTCAAACCGCAAGTGCTTGATGGTGGCTAAGTCCATAATTTCAGATGCTATAAGGGGGTCTATCCCAGATTGTGATACTGCCATAGAGCATCTTAAAAAAGTGGAGAGTTAGTTCACTTGCTCTTCAAAGGTTATGCCAGTGCTTTGATTAAGAAATTGTTCAATGAGAAATACACTGATGGCGGTATCAGAGAGCACATACTGAAGATGAGCAACACGGCTTTGAAGCTAAAGCCAATGGATTTGGGGTTCAAGAATGAGTTCTTGATTCATTTGGTTTTTGCTTCCTTGCCCAAAGAATATGAAACTTTTATTGTGAACTACAACATGCAGCCCGATAAATGGGATATAGAGAAGCTCATTGCAATATGTGTTCAAGAAGAGGAGATGCTAAAAGCTCACAGAGTGACTCTGCTAACCTTGTGAAGGACAACATGAAGAAGAATTTCAATAAGAATACCAAACCTCAAGGGAAAGCCCCTCAGGCTGAGCACCATCAGAAGAACAACAATGCCTAAGTTGAAAAGGATCAGTGCAAATGGTGCAAGAAGCATGGATATTACCAGAGGGACTGTCCAGACTTCCTGAAGAATCTTCTGAAGAGAGGTGAGGATATCATTACATTCATACATGAATTCTTGTTTTTAAGTTATGCAAAATCTATTTGGTGGATTGATTCAAGAGCAACTGTTCATGTTGCAAATTCATTACAGGGATTCCGTACGAGGAGGACCCTGCAAAGAGGAGAAACAAGAATTAAAGTTGCAAATGGAGTTAAAGCTAAAGTTGAAGCCATTGGAGATCTTTCTCTAGAATTAGATGATGGTTTTAGACTTCAGCTTTCAGATATTCTTTATGTACCCTCTTTACGTAGAAACTTGATAAGTGTTTTAAGATTAGATGATGATGGATATGATTGCCATTTTGGTAATGGCAAATGTCGGATTGTGATTAATAATAAGTGTGTTGGTCTTGCCTTCCGACAAGACAAGCTTTATTTATTATCACTTTCTGAGAATATGAATGATATGAGCACTGAGAATGAGAATGCTTCATTGTCTATGAATGCAACAAATAAGCGAAAGAGAGTGCATGACGTATCTTTAAAATTATGGCACTGTTGTTTAGGCCATATTTCGAGGGGGAAGAATAGAACGATTGATTAATAAATCAATTCTTCTGTCTTTAGAATTTTTAAATTTAGAACAATGCATTGATTGCGTAAAAGGAAAATATGTTAAGAAAATAAAGAAAGATGCCAAACGAAGTGCAGAAATTTTAGATATAATTCCCACAGACATCTATGGTCCTTTTTCTATGAAGAGTGTGGATGGTTATGATTCATTTATAACATTCACAGATGATTATTCTCGTTTTGGCTATATTTATCCAATTAAGGAAAGATCGGAAGCATTGGATAAATTTAAGATATTCATTGCTAAAGTAGAAAATCAGCACAACTTAAAGATTAGGGTAGTAAGATCCGACCGTGGGGGAGAATACTACGGTCGACACACCCCATATGGCCAAGTTCCTAGACCCTTTGTAAGGTTCTTACAGGAAAATGGCATAGTTGCCTAGTATTCTACACCAAGCGAGTCTTAGCAGAATAGAGTAGCTAAAAGACGCAACCATACCTTAATGGATATGGTGAGAAGTGTGATAAGTTATTCTACCCTACCGATAAGTTTATGGATGGAGGCGTTAAAAATCATCATTCATATTCTTAATCGAGTGCCAAGCAAGTCGGTGGCCAAAACACCGTATGAGTTATGGACAGGAAAGAAACCCTCACTTAACTATTTACGTATGTGGCGTTGTCTAGCTGAGGCAAAAGTCTTTAACCCAAACATAGGAAAGCTAGACTCCAAGACAGTCAGTTGCCATTTCATTGGCTATCCAGAAAAAGTCAAAAGGTTACTGCTTCTATTGTCCTGACAGACAAACGAAGCTTGTAGAAACAAGACATGTTGTGTTCTTGGAGGATGATATGATCAGAGGGAGCATGGTAGCGTGAGAAATTAATTTTGAAGAGAAGCGGGTATACGTGCCCACTCCGATGGTTCAGGAACCATTATTCACACTACCTGTTGTTGCTGTACCAATAGTTCAAGACACTATAGTAACAACACATGTTGTTAGTTCTCGTGTGACAACAATGAATGAACATGAGAAACCTATCATTCATGATCCCATAGAACCCGTTGTCACGCATGAGGAAGAGCAACAACAGACTCATATAGAACAAGCGTCATCTAACGAGGCCCCTAGAAGGTCTCAAATAGTTAGGAGATCAGCCATTCCTGAAGATTACAAAGTTTATGAATGTGAGGAATTTTAAATGGAGGGTGATCCCACCTCATTTGAAGAAACCATGAGAAGCGCTCACTCATCAAAGTGGTTTGAAGCCATGGAAGATAAAATGAAATCAATGAAAACCAATAGTGTTTGGGACTTAGAAACAATTCCTAAAGGAGCCAAGACAGTAGGCTGTAAATGGGTCTACAAAATCAAACATGACTCCAAAGGAAATATAGAAATATTCAAAGCGCGACTTGTGGCGAAAGGCTTCACGCAAAGAGAAGGTATAGATTATAATGAGACATTTTCTCTAGTCTCATGTAAGAATTCTTTTAGAATCATAATGGCGCTTGGAGCATATTATGATTTAGAATTACATCAGATGGATATAAAGACGGCGTTCCTAAACGGGGATCTGGAGGGAAATGTTTACATGGCACAACCGAAAGGTTTTGTTGTGAAAGGAAAAGAAAGTATGGGATACCACCTGAAGAAATCCATTTACGAATTAAAACAAGCTTCAAGATAGTGGTTTTTAAAGTTTGATAGTATAATAAGAAAGTTTGGGTTTTAAGAAAATGTAGAGGACAATTGCGTTTATGCAAAGTTCAAGAATGGGAAATATATTTTCCTAGTCTTGTATGTGGATGACATCTTGCTCGCTAGCAGTGATGTTAATCTACTACTAGAAATAAAGAAGTTCTTGTCCTCGAAGTTTGATATGAATGATCTTGGTAAAGCTTCGTTCGTCTTAGGAATAGAGATTCACTGAGATAGAGAAAAAGGGTTTTAGGATTATCACAAAAGGCATACTTAGAAAAAATTCTAAAGAAATATAGTATGCAAAATTGTAAGTCTTCACATGCTCCCATGGTCAAGGGCGATAGATATGGGGAATTTCAATGTCCCAGAAACCAATATGAAATCGATCAAATGAAAGCGGTTCCATATAGTTCAGCTGTCAGAAGTTTACTGTATGCTTAAGTGTGTACTCGCCCTGACTTAGCATTTGTTACCGAGTTACTTGGCAGATATCAGAGTAATCCAAGAATAAAACACTGAAAATTAGTAAAGAAAGTTTTACGTTATATGCAAGGTACAAAGAGTCTCATGCTAACGTACAGAAGATCTGATTCCCTGCACATAGAGGGGTATACAGATTCTGATTATGTGGGAGATGACAGAGTCCACGTCAGGATACATATTTACTCTCGCAGGAGGAGCTATATCGTGGAAAAGCTCAAAGCAAACCGTCACTACATCGTGCACAATGTATGACGAGTTTGTAGTCTGCTATGAGGCCACAGGGCAGGTGAATTGGCTGAAGAAATTCATGCCCTGGTTAAAAGTGGTAGATGACATACATAAACCACTCATGTTATACTGTGATAATAATGCAGCAGTATATTATGCTCACAACAATAAGTTAAGTGGTGCTGTCAAACACATTGATATAAAGTATTATGTTGTAAAAGACAAAGTCTGTGGTCATATAATTAGTCTTGAGCATATAAGAACAGAAAAGATGCTTGTGGATCCGCTTACCAAAGGCTTACCACCCAGCGTGTTCAGAGAACACTTAGCCGATATGGATTTAAGGGAAAGCCTATGATTTCTGGACAATGAAGGCCTAGTTGAGAATCTGTTTCAAAATAGAGAGGTCCATTGTAGCTGTTTAATCTAATGGCAATAGACCGTGAAGATGAGGCACGCTCTATGCTCTGATCTGTGATGGAATGGGAACAAGATAAAGTAAGTTAAATTTAAGTCATAAGATGAGATCGAGGGGGAGAATGTTAGATTGATCCCACTAGTTTGGCATAATGGTCAATAGGGCCTTGATCCGCGCCCTGATCGGGGACACCCAACCCTAACTATGGTCGGTGGGCCCCGTCGCACAACGTCATAAAAATGAAGGTGGGGGCCGGAACACAAGGCACGAGGTTCACCTGAGCCGGCAGACACCCCACCTACATCCCAAACCCTAACCGATCTAGAGAGGGGGCGCTGCCAGCGACGGGAAGCACCACCACTAGCTTCACCCCCGCCTCTGCACCGCCGCCCTGCGACTGCGCCTCCACCGCGTCACCGTCGCACCTTCACCAAGTCACCACCGCACCTGCGATGGCCAGCTCGTCTTCGCCGAAGACGGCCGATGATTTGCATCTCCGCACCCCTCTCTCTATCTCTATGTTTTTCCATTACTAGTATATGTTTTAGGGTTTACTATTTATCTAAATCTCAGTTAGACTCGGCTGATCTACACCTAACCGATGCTACGTAACTAGCAACAACATCCTTCTCTTCCACAGACAAGAACACCTGCTCTGCCTCGGCGATCGTACCATGTTTCGAGTACATGCCCAAGATGACGTTGCCCACAAAAGCTGTCACGTCCAGCCCAATCTTGACAGTGTCACAATGCAAGGCTGCTGCAATGCCAGAATTCTCCAAATTGCTGCAGATCACAAGAGCGGCAGCGTACGAGAACCTATCAGGATGCAGCCCACGCAGCTTCATAAGCCTGAGCACATCCAAACCCATCTCCGGTTGGGAGCTCGCCGCCAGACCTGAGATCAGGGCGTTGTGCGATACGAGATTGGGCTCCGAGAGCGTCCTGAAGAGTGTCACCCTGCCTCGTAGCAGCCGCACTTCGTGTACATGGACACGACCGAGTTGGCCACGAAGGACGCGCCTAGGAACCCGCTCTTGACGGCGTGCGCGTGCACCTGCGCGCCCGCCGCGAGCGCCTGCAGGGCGGCGCAGGAGCGCGCCACGCTGGCGTATACGTGCTCGTTCGGCCGCACGTCTCCCATCCGCGCGAAGAGCTCCAGCGCCAGATCCGGCCTCCCTGCCTGAGCGCAACCGGAGATGAGCGCTGACCAGGAGACGAGGTTCCGGCGCGGCATTTCACCGAACACCCTCCGCGCGGCCTCGAGGAGGCCGGACCTCGCGTACGTGACGATGAGGTGGTTCGAGAGGAAGACGTCCGCCGCGTGGCCGGCTTTGGTGGCGGCCGCGTGCGCCGCTGTGGTGGCATGGGCGCGTGAGCTGGTGGTGGCGCCGTGGAGGATGAGAGACACTACCCTTCGCCTTCGCAGGATCATGTATGTACTACAGCGTTAAGACTGAAGATAGGGATGCTGGCCTTTGCGTTGCGGTCTTGCCCGGGCCTTCCGGATCCGGGATAAATTGAAGACCAATCTGAGTGTTTTGGCACAAGAAGAGACTCCAATTGTCGGCCATCACAATTAGTCCACATTTTTTATTCCCTTCTTCACTCATTTCTCATCTCTCACAACTAAATACGCTCGAGAGTGGACATGTTTTCGTGCGACAATCGAACTTAGGGCCGTCGTTCTGCCTCCATGCGTTTCCATCACCGCGTGCTCCCCCACTCGCGCGGTGGGCCCGGTCTCACGCGGTCTGCCCTCCCCCGCACAACGATCCCGTGATAGATGGCGTCGCAGGATCGCTCGCTTCCCCGGGCGACGATCCCGCATCCAATCACGCAGCACCCGGCGTCGATCCCTCTCCCCCGCGCCTCGCTAGATGATCCCGCCCGGCCACCCCGGCCAGATCCTTCACGGTCGTGCTATACTGCAGCCTCTCCACGGCCGGCCCCGACTAGATCGCCCGCCCGCGCCATCATCAGGCCCTGTCCCCGCCGGATCCCCGCTGCAGTGAAGGGGATGTGGAGTTGACGGAGGCGGCGGCAGCGCATAGCGCGCCATCTGCCTGGCGGAGTTCGAGGACGGCGAGTCCACGCGCGTGCCGCCCCAGTGCGTCCACGCGTTCAACGCTGCCGGCCTACCTGCGGGACAACGAGTGCATCCACCGCCACTACCGTTGCGAGTGGGCGCTCCCGCAAGTGCTGCTCTCCGCCTTCTCCATCCACAACGAGACCCTCAACGTCTGAATGTACGTAAACTCTCTCTGCCCTACCCTCCTTAATTAATGGTTCTATATATATTGTTGTTTGTTACAATTGATGTTAGCTACGTTGGGAGGAACGGGATATTGATTTTGGCCGTGACTCTGATTGCAATGCGTTCAATTGTTTGGTACATGAGATTTCTGGGCGTTTATTTCCTGCTTGTGCATAATCCTTGTGTATGTTTCAGAATTAAGATTCATTATTATGGATTGGCGAAATATATTGAATTTTGTAGTTTCATTCTTTTAGATGGTTCAGGAACACATTTGGAATCAGAAAGGTCAGCTTCAAAGCCCTGACAGTCTTTGTTCTTTTGGTTCTTTTCATTTGCATGTTGTTGAATGCAAGTACATCAACCAGTTCAGAGAAAGCAGGACACTGACTGAACTTAGCATCCCTCCTACTCAATTTGAAGTCTTCCTTCAGGTCAGTTAATACCTTTTCATCAGGTTCAGCATAACATTAAAAAAAACAGATAAGTTCAGAGTTAACATTCAAACAATTGCGCTGCTCCAGACTGTCCTCGCCAACCTGCAGGAAGTCTTCCTTGACACCAAGGTCGTCGTGCTCTTCCTCATTGCGCTGCTCACCACCGCTGCCCAATGCACACACTTTGGCCAGGTATGTAGTATGTGTGTCATGTTACACTTCATTCTAAATTATAAAATATTTGGTGTTTGCGTAGGGGTCCTTGGTTGTGGGTTATGTTACAGTGACTTTTTTTTTTTGTTCGTTGCCTCTGCAAACTGTGAAATTTATTTGTTGGTCTAATCCAATTCAACAATGAGGCAAGAAGGTAAATTGAGGTGTGATGTTAACTTCCTTCTTCTAAATGTTCAAAGATGCTTTCTTGTACTGAAATATTTGCCTTGGATTTGGTTAGCTGAGATGAGATATAGCTGAATATTCCTTGCTGTTAGCTGTTTGCTTGCTTCTGGTAACCGCAGGGAGAAATTATTATTGTGGGCTAACCTATTCATCATTAACTAAAAATAGGTCGCATTATGTGTTGCTTTGCATGTTGTAACACTAATATTTTTCATCTTTAAGGATCAGTACTAGAGTTTCATTGATTATTACTAGAAATTCATCCGTACTTCAGTGGCTCAGAGAAATTTAGTAATTTTGCATTTTAGCCAACTTGTCCCTATTGTTCATCTCCCTCCCACCGTCCCCTGCTTCCCATCCACCTCCCTCCCCTGCTTCCCCAGCTACTCCAGCAATAATCTCATCATCATCAGTTCCATCTCCTTCATCAATTGATTGGGTTCCTCGAGCCTGCAACAATTCTCTACAACTCTGTTCACTGCCCATGAGTATTGTGCTGACAACAATGCCATGAGCATTGTGCTGATTGAGTGAGTGACTGAGGATAAGGCCAGCAGGATTTATATCAGATTTGAATGTTGAATCTTAAAATTGATTTTGATATGAATGGTATGCTCAAATAGAAGAACATGGTTATAGAATTTTTGAGAAGCTCCCATCCTCTGAATATATGTTGTCTGAAAGTCTGCAATTCTGATATTGTTGATAAATAAATTGTCAAATATATTGTTTTACGCAGCCCACTTAGTCTGTAATATTTTTATTAGTTTATATCTCTAACTGTATGATTTCGCCGTTCCCCTGTCTTCGATTGGTGTCAGCACTTCATATGGGCAGTGATTTAAAAGATAAGGCTTTAAATTCTTTTTTCCCTCAAAAAATAATTTGTAGCCTACGTGTTTTTTTCAATGGTCAGGATGAAGACTTCGAGAAAAAAGTGTCTGGTGTGGATTAGCCAAATAGAACCTGTAGATTTTGATAAACAGAGTATATTCTTGAGTCAGTTTGTTGCAGCTGTCGCATCTCATATATGGATATTTTGTTGCATCTCACTTTCATTCCCTTTCATATTGATTCAAATGTGGTGATTTCAGTTTGCAACATTAAGTTTGTGTGACACTCAAATTCTTTCATGCAGATGGCATCTTCAGAACACACTGCGTGTCGCATCCCATTCAAAGATATATCCAACACCAACAATGACAGTGGACCAACGACATCCAATTTACAACCAGATGACACAGCTCCAAAAGAACGCAAGAGGCAAAGGGCAAGGGACGCGTATGCGAACATGCCTCAAGATCGAAAGGAGAGGTTACTAAAAAAACGTCGAGAAGATTATCATCGAAGGAAAGCTCAAGCTCTCCTTACAAATGAAGATTCACAATCCACAATCCCACTCCTTGCTGAAGGTTACTAGACTTTTTAATGCATATTATGTCTACAGGCATCCTCAGTAATGTTGAGCAGTGCGACACCTCAAGAGTAGAAAATATGGTTCCAGATGAGAATGCTGATTGGTTGCACAGAAATGATTCATACAACATGCCACATGCAACAAAGACCTCCCTTCAAGTGTTGGGTACCGCGTACAATTGTCCAGTGAATATCATTTTATACATATGCTATTTCATAAAGCAGATATGCTACATTTGTTGTAATACTATTGAATTTCATTTCTACAAGTCATGTATTTCAATTCAGCTTCATTGACATCTATTTCAATTCTATTTAATTGATTGGGAGTAATCTCTATTGATATACACCGAAGCATGTTTGATTTAGCTAGCACCTCCAAGTGAATATAATATGACCAAATATACATAAATATTTACAGAAACCTCCTTTGATTTGTATATGAGGAAATGCTAGCAGAAATTAGCCTTGATTCAGCAAAAATACCACATTAGTTGGTGATTGTGCCGTCACAACACCCTCATCCAAGAATTCATGTACGATGAAGTTAACAAACGAGCAGCGTAAAGCTAAGTGTGCCAGGGAAAGAGAGCGCTATGCATGTATGACACCTGAGCAAAGAGAGGCTAAACGTGCATGTCAAAAAATGCACAATTGCCGAACTCAGGAACAGATTGAAGCAAAAAAAAAAATGAACGTAGAAGGGTATCAAATATGATGGCTGAGCAAGCGCAGGCAAAGCGAGATAAGAAAAGGATGGAAAGGCATTGTCGGCGCGACAGTTTGAACAGCGATTCCATTGGGGGGCAGTTGCTGAATGACTCCATTACTGTACTGGTTTTTCGATTGTGGTCCTCTGTCTTCAATTGGATTAGTGATGATGTAAAGGAAATTTAAAAACCAACAATGTCTCTCCATCACATGTTTTTTTAAAAAAAAATCAACAAAAATGCGGCGGTGCATTGCCTATTTGTTAATTATCTGAGTCACCATCACCTATTGTTAATTACCTATTAAGTTATTGTTACTTTGCTGTTTAATGTTACCTATCACATTATTGTTTTTTAACAATACAACACGTTGATGCTTAAATTATCAGGGCATTATTTGTTCCCGCTGCAACGCATGGAAAGGTCTGTATAGAGTTGGTGAGCCTGCGACGCCGTGCTCACTATGGCTATGTTAATTTCACGAACTTTGTCTTTTGGATTAAATGTCACTTTAATATCGGTATTTATTTTTTATTATCTTATCATGCGATCCGTGTGGTTTTAGTATAAAAGTTTAGTTGTCCCGTAGCAACGCACGGACACGCTATCTAGTATATTAAAAAACACTTTTCTCCCTTATAAAAAAATCTTTTATTTTCTAATTTTGTATCCAGTACGATCTCTCATGATCCTCGACTTTGTAATTCTGTAGCACATGGTCTTGCTAGTTTAGGGGCTGGTATGGGACCTAGCCCGACCTCGGTTAGGGATATTATGCCCTCTTGTAATCAGGTCCTGGTCGCCAAAGATTTGGCGCCGTCTTATGAGTAACGGAGTTTTCTTCCATGTTAAAAAAAACAGCAAATTAGAAAATACTAAATCCGTTCTAAATTATAGTTCGTTTGACTTTTTTTACCTCAAGTTTGACCACTCGTCTTATTCAAAAATTTATGCAAAATATCACTTCTTTTGTTGTGGCTTGCTTTATTAACAAACGTTTTCCAGAATAACTTAAATTTGACTATGTTTGCACAATTTTGCTGAATAAGACAAGTGTACAACATCTAGGGTTAAAAAAGTCAAATGAATTATAATTTGGACCGGAGGGAGCAGAACAATTTCAGGCTATCATGTGATCCATCAAGCAGCCATATCCTTTTCATCGTTTTCAGCACCGGTCCTGAGTTTCCGAAGTCTATAAACAAACTCGCGGTTGCAGCTTGTGGTGACTAATGAGACGAGTACGAAGTAGTATACCAAGGATTAGCTTTTAGGACAATGGAGAACGTCCAATTAGCAATTCACAAAATCACAATGTCTAGTCTTCTGAACCATATGTAAGTGCCCAACACTTTTGAAGGCCTGAGATGTGAATCGATCATTGAATGCATGCAGTTCATAATATTTAGATAATCAAGCTTCAAAAGCTAATATCTACTCAATAATTGTCGGTGTTTCGAACCGCCGACTAGTAAACTTGTGTTTGCGCGTCTGACCCGGATGGTATGCTCGGAGGACACAAGGGTTTATACTGGTTCGGGTGGAATGTCCCTACGTCTAGTTTGAGGCTGCTCGTGTTACCGGCACTTGTTTATAGTAGGGATTACAAATGGGCGAGAGAGGGAGAAGGTCCCAAGTCTCGAATGGAGTTGAGTCTAGTTAAACTGAGTCCCCCCCTGGGGCGTCCTGCTTCCCCTTTTATAGGTGAAGGGGAAGGCGCAGATTACACGAAAGAAAGAGAGAGAGAGAGAGAGAGAGGGAGAGGGAGAAGCGAGGAGGAAGAGGGCCTCTGGGGTCGCGTCGTCCTTCATCCCCCTATGTGGGTCCCTCCGGTCCTATAGATGATGACGGGGATGGCTCCATGTCGCGACCCTGTTCGCCACTAGCGCTACACATGAGCGTCGTCAGCCGGTTGTGGCGGCCCATTCCGTCCCGGCGGGCAGCATGGTCAACGGTACCCCTGACGGAAGTCGTGCTGGGGGTTAGGCAGCACAGTGTTGGCCTGCTCGACGCTGTCAGAAACGTGAGCTCCCAAGTATGGCTCATCGTGGCCACGGGTCGCGTCAAGACATGCCTACTCTCTTTCTGGTGTCAGAAGTTTGACCCCGGGTCCGTACTCTTATACTCGTAGTGGTTGGAGACGGTGCAGGCCCCCATGGGGCCTATGCTCCCGCCCGAGACTAAATATGTTCCCTTAGGGTCGGGCGAGGCAGAATCCCCCCTCGAGATGTCGAGCGAGGTAGGCTCCCCCCTCAAGGTGTCGGACGAGACAGAGCCCGCACCCTCGGGGTCAGACGAGACGGAGCCCGCTCCCTCGGGGTCGGACGAGACGGAGCCCACGCCCTCGGGGTTGGGCGAGCTAGTTGTTCGTGGCCATTATCCTCCTTCTTCAGGGTATCCCTAATATCGATACCCGACAGTAGCCCCCGAGCCTACGGAGGAGTAGGATACTTCTTTGAAGGCTTTTTCAAATGGAAGGACTCTGAGGGCTTTGATCTCCCTTTGCGGCCCACAGGATGTCTTGGTAGGGTTGTGATTCCTTTCTATCATGATTAGACTCTTCGGGAGTACGTAGCTACGGGGTTTGGGGGCCAGAAAAGATTTCTCTTGATTTCGATCCCTCCCTAGGATCCGATCGATCTGTCACTGATACCCGACCGCGTACTCGGTCTCCTTGGGAGTCCAACTTCCCCCGAGCCCTCGCTCGTAGCAGGGGTCCGGTCGGGGGGGGGGGGGTCAGCTCGTCTTGTGGTCGTCCTCCCTCAAGCGTTTTTTTGATAAAAATGAAGGGGCTGAGCCGTGCCATGTTTTCCTCGATGGATGAATCATGGTGCTCGGTGATCTGTTAACGGGCTAGTCTGAGTGGGGCCCTGGCTTCCCATTTGCGGGGGTCCAGCATGGGTCAACTGGTGACCGACTCTAGATTCTTGATGGCCAATCCATATAGTTCTCATGTCCGTTCGACCGGTCCCAAGGGCTCATGGCCTTTCTTCGAGGAAAAACCATGGACCGTTCTCTAGCCAAGACTCGAACGTGGGTCGGGATGCCTGTGGCGCTCATGCGCTCGGGTGCTGGCCGCTAGCAGGCCCATCCTTAACCACCCCTCACTCTAAAGGTGCCCTAGGTCAGTTGTGAACCCGTTGATCGGCCAACCTTCGAACTGCTGGGCTTTAATGGGCCGTGGGAGCGTTTTTAGCTCCGTATCCCTCCTTACCTGTGGCAGTTTTCGGCCCATCGAGGGGGTGAACAGTTGTCCAGTGCACCCTTCGAGGGGGCGGCCGAGGGTGGCGTGCGCATGACTCCTAGAGAGACGAAGTGACGAGGCGTGGCAAGCGCGTTGATCGAGGCGAACGGTTCGCTTCTCGCTCCACCTTCCCCTATAACTTGGGGTTTCTCCCTTCATCTTTGATACGCCTAACCGTAGCCTCGTCCTCTCCGCTTCTCCACTGCAAGCGCTTGGATCTCTTGCTCTCGCTCTTCCATCTCCGGTGAAGTTCTCGTACCTCCGCCCTTGCTTCCCATGGATTCGTGGTATCGCTCCAATGTCACCCACATGCGCATGGAGGGCCTCATCAAGTGCGGTCTTCTCCATGGGAGAACTGAGGCAGTGGAGTGGCTCGTGCCCAGTCACGAGGAGGTGCCGGCGCCGCCCAACGGCTATGTCATGTCCTTCGCACCCTTCCATGAGTGCAGACTCATGATTCCTCCCCACCCGTTCTTCCAGGGACTGCTGCACCACTACCTGTCGGTGTTTTAAATCACTGGCTAGTAAATTTCTAGTTTGCGCATCTGACCCGGATGGCTGTGCTCGGAGGACACAAGGATTTATACTGGTTCAGACGGAACGTCCCTACGTCTAGTGGGCTGCTGCTCGTGTTACCGGCACTTGGTTTGTAGTAGGGGTTACAAATGGGCGGGAGAGGGAGAAGGTCCCAAGTCTCTGGTGAAAAGAGTGAGTCTGGTTCAGCTCTTCGTTTACCGTCGAATGCCTAAGCCCTTAGCCGCTCAGACGTGTTAGATGTGTCTTGGAATTCCCCCTCCATGGGGTGCCCTGCTTCCCCTTTTATGGATGAAGGGAAAGTTGCAGGTTACATCGGAGAGAGAGAGAGATAGAGAGAGAGAAAGAGACGAGGAGAGGAAGGCTTCTGGGATTGCAACGTCTTCCATCTCCTTTATGCGGGTCGCGCTGGCCCTATAGATGACGACGGGGACGGCTCCACGTCGTGGCCCTATTCATCACTGATGCCGTTTGTGAGCGTCGTCAGCCGATCATGGTGCTTTATCCTAGCCTAGC